ATGTAGGCCCATCAGCAGGCTCTTGGCCGTCTGAGGCCACTCGGCAGGCTCCCTGGCCGCCGGTGTGGCCACGGCCCAGACACAGCAGCCACTGTCTGCCCAGCCTCGGGGCGGGGCGCCGGGCCGAGGCCGGCTCTGCGGCCTGTCAGGAGATTTACACCCGGCTCTTAACAACCTCGTGGAGTCGCAGGCGGGTGCTGGCCCAGGGTGGTCTGCCGTGAATCGGCCCCCTGTGAGCAGATGAAAGCCGGTCGGTGGCTGGGCAGGGAAACGGGCTGGCGGGGGGCCAGCGGGCAGGGAGGCTGTGAGCAGGGCTTCCAGCAGCCTGGGCTTGATTAGGGGAGCCCGGGAGGTCTGCGGTTAACCCCTTCCCTCCTGCCAGGCACACTCCCCCGGCTCCCCTAGGCCTGCCCCAGCACGGGGCCACTCCTGGCCTGTGAGGGTCTTGGGAGCCGTGCGCTGGGGGCGGCTGCCCCTCCTGAGCCCAGGCATCCGGCCTCCGCGTCCCTCTCTCTGGCTTCCTCCTGGAGCCGGGCAAGAAACTGTGCCAACTTTAGGGTCCCCCAAGGCCCAGCTGTGGGCTGAGGGTCACTTCCACTGCCCACGCCAAGGCCCCCGCTGCCACGCTTTGCTGCCTGCTCCCTTCCCTGCAGGCCTCTCTGCCCAAAGCTCCCTCTCCAGGGCACCCTCCCCGTGCCCTGCACTGCCACCCGTCTCTCAGTTTTGTTTTTCTCCATAGGGCTTTGCGCTACCTGAAACTAACTATTTGCTCACTTTGTTTATTCACCGAATATTTATCAAGCCCCTATTAAGGGCTCCTGCCTGCATTCGAGGTCCATACAGGCGGGCCGAGAGAAAAGAACCTGCCCTCGTGAGGCACAGACAGTGGTGGGGGAGCGAAATAATGAATGGAATACACTAGTGAGCTGTGCGGCACCGCAGAAGGGGGTGCGTGCTCGGTGGCACTAGAGCCAGGAAGGACAGGGAGAGGGGAGGAGGGCTGTGCGCGTGCAACTTAAACAGGGGGCCCCATACCTGGGGGTGCCTTGGGAGACTTGGGAGAGTTCCAGGCAGAAGGAAGAGCAGTGCAAAGGCCCTGAGGCAGGAGTGTACCTGCAGAGGCTAAAGACCAGCCAGGGTGGCCAGAGTCCGGTGAGCGGGGACAGCGAGGGGTAACGGCCCAGATACGTGGGGCAGGAGGGCCGTGGTAACAACAGAACTGTTCACCACCTCTCCCCACCCTGCAGGCTGAGCACCAAGAGGCTGGGAGCCCGCCTGGTGGGGTTCACTGTGGCATCTCCAGCACGAGGAACAGGGTCTGACACGTGGTAGGTGCCTGGGACAATATTTGTTGAAATCATTCTACGTACAGTTTTGGGAGGAAAGGGCCCACAGGGAAGATTCCAGAACCATCCCCCTCTGCCTCAGGCAGCAGCAGGAACCCAAGTCCTACCCCCCGAGGTACCAGCACCTGCTAAGCTGGAAGTCAGGCTTAGCTGTGGTCCGCACCAGGATCGCCAGGCACTGTACCACCTCCTGCCCGAATCCTGGACCCGGCTCAGCAACCTGCTTTGTAACCGGCCCCCAGCGACTCTGAGGGACACCAGCATCGAGAACCTCAGAAACCAAGGCCACACAGGCAGGAAGCCACCAAGCCAGCCTTCAAACCCAGCTGGCCACCTGGCTGCAGGTCGGGCACGCTCTGCAGGGCACCGGAGGGGAACGACCCAGCCACAGAACCCACAGTCGGCTTCAGGGATCAGCAGACTCCCAGCCCCCCCCAGAAGGCTCGGACTCCACGCCGGCCAGGCCCCGCTGCCCGCCGGGGTTGCAAAGCAGGGCGAAGTAGGGAAGGAAATCCGGGAGCAAAAAGGCGGTGCTAATCCATGAGGGTTTGGGCACTTCCTCTGTGCCGGGCAGCTGTAAACGCATCTAACTCTCGCAACGATGCCCCAAAACAGACACTGACACCATCCCCGGTTTGCAGATGAGCACATGGAGGCAGGAAGGGCCTACTAAGTGGCCCTCACCTCCCGGAGCGCTCAGCTGGAGACCCCAGGGTGCACTGAAGTTCATCTTGGGCGGGAGGTGTTGCCTCCCTGGCCTCTGTCCCCTTCTGGGGTCACTGAGGATTAATTAATGGAGAGTTGGCCATTACACACACGGCGTGGTCAGTGACCAGCAGCTACTGAGCTGGCCTCTTCCTTCTCACAGCTGGGGACGCTGAGGCCAGGAAAGGGGAAGGATCTGTGCAAAGTCACAGACTTTGAAGTCCAGGCTGGGGCTAGAACCCGGGGTCAGGGTGAGACCTGACCCCAGGGCAGGGCAGGCCAGGGGCAGGAGCAGGCAGGTGCTAGGGATGTGGGACCTGGAGCAATGCCCCCTCCCCACCTCTGCTCTGTTCTGTGAGCTTCTGCTAAGATTCTGTTTGAACAAGTCACTTTTAAACCACTGATCTGGCCCCTGCCAGGGCCTAGAGGAAGGTGACATCTTCCCAGGTGGAACAGCAGGCCTGGCCTCTGCCCCTGCTGGTCTCCTGGCCCAGCCTCTGTCCCTCCCTCTTGCCACCTCGGCTCCCTCTGGGCTCAGCTGCCTGGTCTTGAGCGCCCCTCCCCCACCAGCTCACCCCAGAAAGGGCCATCTCAGGCTTGGGGGGCCCCAGGAGAGAAAAGCGGGCAGAGGATTCAACTTGGGGCGCCCACAGACAGGGCTGTACCTCCATGCCCATCTGGACGCCTCAGCTGGGAGGGCGGGCAGCTCTGGGCTGGCAGGGGTGAACACGGAGGGCTCTCAGAGACGCCAGGATTGCCTGGCCCCTGGGACCTTCCCACCAAGCCCTGACACCCTGCTCACTTGTCTCTGCCAACAGGTGCACCCTCCCTTTCAGAGAGGCTCCTAGGTGCCACACCCTCACACCGAGCCCAACTGTGGCTCCTGTCCATCCTGACCCTGCCCCTGGGGACCTAGAGCGGGACCATTAGCTCCTTCAGTAGGGACTTCACACGTGCACCTCTGTCATGGTGGGAGCGCCCTGCTGCTCCCAAGAGAGGTTCACCATCCGCCACCATGGGGGTGGGCGGTGGCGGGAGTGCAGGGGGGGGCAGGGATGTACCACGGACCCATGGGGATCCTCTGTCTGCTACAGCCATGTGCTGTCTACATGTCACCCTGATCTCCAGGCCTGCAAGGTAGGATCATCCCATTTCACAGAGAAGGGAGCTGAGGCCCAGAGAAGTCAATGATTTGCCTAAGGTCACACAGCAGATAACAGCCCTGGTTAAAGCAACTGATTGCCTGCTACCCCTCCCACCCCCTGTAAGTGCTTTACACAGATTACCCTATTTCTCCTCTGGGTGCTCTCTGGGTGTTGTGGGCAGTGTCCCCAGCTCGACAGCCCCACAGCTAGCTGCTTATGTGAATCCCATTTCTTAGATCAGGAAACTGAGGCACGGAGGTGACTTGCCCAACGTCCCACAGCCAGGCAGCCTGGCTCCGGATCTGCTCTCTGCACCATGTAGCCTATGGCTCACAGGGCTCCCCAGCCATCACCACCTCGAGACTCCTGGGGTCAGTGATCCAGTTCACAGACGATAAAACTGAGGCCAAAAAGGAGCCACGACTTGTGTGAAGCCACAAGGCCCAAAGTCAAGAGTGTGGGCCGGCCTGCACCAGATCCCAGCCGGGGCAACCGGCAGGGGGTTGGCCAGAGCAGGCGCCGGCAGTGCTGACGGTGCGGGCCTGGGACGCTCAGGTGCGGGGGCTCAGGGCAGGCCGGCAGAGGTGCCCCTGAGAGGCTTGCAGGGAAACTTTCGGAGATGCTGGGCCCAGCTCTGCGCCTTTCCCAAGTGGCCAGGCACTGTGATGGGCCCGGGAACAGGGGGATGGGGGCCAGGCCCACCTGACTCCCCAGTAGGGAGGAGCAGGCGCAGGGCCAGGCCTGGGCGCTCCTCACTGACATGCCCTGGCGCGGCCACACTCCCATCCTGAGCCTCCTGGGCTTGGAGGAGGCGCAGGAGCGTGTCCTGCTGCCCCGCCTGCGCAGCCCGGCATCAAAGGCCGGGTCTGGGAGACTGAGGCCTGGAGCACCTCCCCCCACCCGGCAGGACACGAGGTCCTGGCCAAATACCCAACTTCCTTAGGCCCAGACTGTCTCACCGGAACATGGGTGACCCTTTGGCTCTGCTGTCACGAGGACCCCATGAAATAATAAGCGTGAAAAGGTTTTCTAAACTGCAAACGGTCATGCTCACAAAGAGAGAAGGGGACAGGCCAGCTCTCCATACAGCAGGCTGACTGTGCTGCGGGGGGTGGGGGGGTGCATGGGCTGTCCAGACAGGAGCTCTGGGGCGGGGGCGGGCAGCTGGCTGGCTCTTTGCTTCAAACATTCACTCAGCCCCGTGGCCCGCCCTCCGGCTGCCCCAGCCCTACTCTGCAAACTCCAAGGCCTTCAGCAGGCAGAAGGAACTAAACACAAACTCATGCCAATGGATCAGGAAGCCCAGCACACAGCAGGTGCTCAATAAATATTCGTGGAATTAGATCTGCAGTCCTGATCTCGCTGGTGTGGGCCCTGGGGTCAGAGTGCTTGGGCTCTGCGTGACTTGAGCCAGTCACATGCTAGGACTCCAAAAGCGTTTCCAAGGAGGGGCTCTGGCACAGCAGGCCTGGCCCAACCTCCACCCCTACCCGCCCCACACCACATCTGAAGCTTTCCCATCCTCTTCCTCTCCTGGCTCCTTCAGCTGGTCCCACCGGGAGGCAGGATCACCAAGCCATCCTGCTGTCCCCCTCCACCCCCAGCCTCCCACGGTCTGGCGATAAGCCCGGAGGGTTTAGAGGGTTGCCAGCAGGTACACAGTGTGGGGGGGGGGCGAGCCAAGGACCATAATCCCCCAGAGGGCTCCAGGGACCCAGTGCCACCTGTCTGACCTCACCGCTGCCCTCTCCCCACTGGACCCTCCTGTCCTGCCCAGCAAGGTCAGGGTCTCAGTGACACTTACGTCTGGGCTCCCGGGGTCCGTCCACGGTCACCTTGATGGCTCGGTGGTAGGTGGCCACTTGGGTGGGGTTGGTGAACACAGTGATGGTCAGTGTGAAGCTCTTCCCTGAGGGGCATGGGAGATAAAGGCAGGAGGTTGGCACCTGGAACTTTTACTGCACCCTGGGTTCCTACCTGTACCCCATTCCTGGAAGCCCCTGACTTTCTAGAAAGGGTAGGTCTCCCCCCTTTTAGCCTGGGCAGAAGATGGGGCTCTGGGTGAGCTTCCAGCTGCTGGGCTCAGCATTCCAGGCCCCCAGGGGTCTGGCACCAACTTTGTAACCCTTCCCCCCAGCTCTGGTCACCCTGGCTTATTTCTTCCCTAATTCTTGTCTTTCTCTGCACCATTCCTTCTATTCAGAGACCCACACGATCTAGGGGTGGGGAGCAAGGATGGGTCTATATTTTTTTTTCCTGAAAGTAATTAGTGATCTTTGTAGAAAACTTTGAGAACCCACAAAATATTAAAGAAAGAAGAAAAAAAAACACCCATTGTTCCACTAGTGAGAGATGAACATTGTTACCATCGGGGTGTTTTCTGCCCCCCCCCGCCCCCCCCCCGTATGGGGACGTGCATTTACACAATGCAGTGGTACTAAGATGTACGTTTTTCTATTGTTTTATTTTTCATTTAGCATCACATCAGAAGCCCATGTCATTAAAACTTCTTCATAAACTTCGTTTTTAGTGGCTGCAAATGCTTCAACTCACGGAAGCCCTATCTCGTATTTATCTACCCCCTCGCTCCCAGCATGTACGTCGTTGCTGATTTCTCATTGGTGTGGGCGGCCAGGGCTGGAAAAGGACTGATTTGGGAGCTGCAGACATTTCATTTGTAGACACGACTGTTATTTCCAGAACGCCGTTCTATTTTTAGATAGACATTTGGCTCCAAAGTCTCCATTCAAAATTCCAGAGGGGGGGGGAATTTTTTTTAAATACTACTTTTTTTAAAAAATCCATTTAAAATAAAATGAAAATGACCTTCTGTTTATAAAAACCTTTGTCTGCATCTCTGCTTATTTCCTTAGAATAGATTCCAAGAAGCGCTGAGTGATTTCATCGCATCGGAGGATCGGGACATATCTGTGGGCGTTGATCTCCCTTGGAGCGAGATGTCTCTCCAGAGCGGTCTCCGCTGTCGTCACGCCGGTGTGAGGCCACGTCCACCCCAGGGCTGTCACCTGCGTGACCGCGTCCAGCAAGACGGAAGAGCTTTGAGAGTCTCTCGACTGTGTTCGCCTTTCTTCTCTTACTGGTGAGAGGGAAACTGTGGATATGGTTATTATCCGGCATAATCCAGCACAAATTATTGCTCGGTGTTCTTTTACACTTTCCTGTGAAGGATTTAGTGCCTTTTAAAAACCGCCGTGTACGAAGCTTGTTAACACTTTCCGTGTCGTAGTTGTGGCGATCAGTTTCCCAGGCCAGTGGACTTCTCATTTCACTTTCTGGTCCCGAGCTGTTTTCGTTTTCAGTTCTAGCTCTCATTCTTCTGTCGTTTTTATGCTTAGACAGTTTTCTCCACGTCGAAGGCAGACAAAGGCTTCACTTGCGACAAAGAGCGTTCTCTCCTCTTTCTACAGTTAATTCTTTGACGTGCCCGGGGTTCTACTGGCGGGTGCGGTACAAGGTAAGGATTTGTCCTCAAACAGCAACACAATGTGCCCAGCGCCTTAGTCAGAGCCCTCCTCTCACCCTGTTTCTGTTATAACCCAAAGCCGAGTGCCGCGTGAGGTTGGGGGTGGGCTTCACCGATCCCCCAAGCCAGAATTCGCCTCCCCCTCGCCTCTGTGCACCCCTGGCCTCCGGACCCCAGGTACAGTCAGTCCCAGGAGCTCCCTGAGGACAGGGCCAACGGCCTGGTGCACGGCACCCCCAGGCCCGGCGCAGGGCGGGCACGCAGGAGGCTGCCTGAGTGCAGCCCTCGTGTCCTCCCGACACCAAGGCAGGCTGCATGAGCCCCATGCCACTCGTGGGAGAGTGGGGCCCGTGGGAAAGGGGCCTCAGTCTGGGGGCCAGTATCATGGTTCTGTTTGCACGGCTGGGCACTTGGTGGCCAAGTGATCATGTGAAAATTCTAGCTCCAGGAACAGGAGAATCTAGAACAAAATCAATGCAGCCAGGCTGCCGGGGCCACGCTGAAGAACTCAAGGGCTTCTGAGATGGCAGGGGGCGTTTAAAGCTAAAGAGTCCCTGAGCTATGGCTCCAGCTGAGAAATGGGGGGCTTCTCTGGAAGACTCTTCCAGGGCCGGCCAGCAGGAGGCAGGGATAGAAATGCTACTGGCACTTGGCACTTACTCCTGGAGCCCTGGGCCCCTCACTGTCAGGCTGCAGGGGCGCTTTGCAATGCAAACAGAAAGTACAAAATGGTCCAAGGCAAGGCCACGAAGGCAGGTGGCTGAGCTCAGGCTCCCTGCTCACCCCCGCCAGGATCCCCCTTCCCCAAACTGCCTTCCCTGTCTCCGAAGTCATCTCCCTCCTGGACCCCTTCCCCCTCCAACCAGCCAGGCTCTCCCCTCCGTCTCTGGGCCTCTGACCCTTCCACCACCTTCTGTGGGAGTCATGCCGAGGGGCGGTTTGGGCGCAGCCCGGCGCACTGGTGGGCACACTCCGGGCACTGAGCGCTCAGGGCGGCACCTGCTGCTTCACCACAACCGGCAGGTCTCCACCGAAAAGTCGCCTTCCCAGCAAGCCCTCCCCCGTCACTTCATCTAAAGCAGGCGTTTTAAACTTGGCTCTGCAGAGCTGAGCAGGCCCGGGACAGGAAAAAAACAGCAACCGAGTCGTCCCTAACCTCTGCCTGAAATGTAGCATCTCTCTCAAGTAAGAGCGTACACAGGCAACAAACCACAGCCGTATTCGCGGCAGTACCTGTGACCTTGTCGCCAAGAGCCGTCACAGATATTTACATATCACATTACAGCTGTCGCAGGCTCCTCTAAATATCTTCTACGCTCGTCACAACTTCAGTGTCACGGTCGTCACTAGATCTGTCGCTAGATCTTGTTATTTAATACATTAAACAGGCAGCACATCTATCACAATTTTTAAGACATTTTGCTAACGGTTGTTTTAATAGAATCGGTTTCCATTGTAATCCTTTGCATTTTATCTTAAACCTTGAAGAAGAAAACCCACGTTATTCTGAGAATGGTGTGTGGGCTTCTCCAGGCTGTCAAAAGAGCCCACGGGGCACAAAAAGGTTAAGCTGCTCAATCTGAAGCGTCATGGGCCCTCCCACTCCCTCTGGCTCCAGCCCTGCACCTGCTTCAGTGTCCCCGTACTGCCTCTTGCCTGTAGCCACCCTCTACTGACCGTCCTCGTTTTGCCTCCCTCCACTAGACCATAAGCTCCCTGGGGCAGAATTCTGTCTTGTTCACCGCTGTGTCCCCAGCTCCTAGGACAGCACCTGGCACATAGTAGGTGCTCAATAAGCGTTTATTAAATGAAATAAGAGCAGAGACTGCTGCTCCCATTTTACAAATGAGAAGACTGAGGCTCCTAGAGGGGCAGTGAGTTGAGCAGGTCACACAGGATCCAGCAGGGCTCAGGAAGGTTAGAATGTGCTGGAGCCTGCCCCACCACACCGCTACTAAGGCCCTGCTCCGGGGAGCGAGGAGGCCCCACTCCCACCAGGTAGCAAATCACATGCCACCCCTGAAGTCACCAGCACTCCTTGCCCACTTCCTCTCGGTTTCCAGGCCTGTCACCATCCCTCCCAGGTATCTGCAGAGGGGAAAGGAGTCAGAGTTGGGAGTTGGAGGGGACTAAGAGCAGGGGTGGACGGGAGGAGCAGGTGTCGGGAAGACCAGGAGGCAGGGACCCTGGGAGCCAGGGTTGGAGGAAGCTGTCTTCCTGAGTGCCCCTCAACTCTCCCTGGCCCTGCCCGGCTCTCTCTCTGCCTAGTGCAACAAACCCAACCATCCACCCTCTAGGAGCAGGAAGCCGAGAAGACAAAGGAGGTGGACAGCTCCTTGCAGAGACCTGGGCAAACGTGCAACTGGCCAGGGGTCCAGGAATCGCAAATCCAAGCACTCCAAGGGCATCTTGTTTGGGGGTGGGGGTTGAAATCCACATCTGGGAATGGACTACCCTGCAGAACCCAGCGCCCTGCTCCCATCACCAAGCTCAGCTGGGTCCGGCAGTGTAGCGTCGGGTCCTATGCCATGAGCCCCACCCACGGGAGCTGCCTGGGCAAAGAGGGGACATGTCTGTCTCGGAACCTCTGGGTTTTCTCCACATTGGCCAAGAAGCCATCCATCTCTTCCCCCACCTGTGGGCTCCCTAAGCCTGCACCCACTCACCTCAGCCCAAATCTCTCTCTACAAACCAAGGTTCCTTGTCAACCAGTTCATGACAGGTTGGGAGCTCATGTGCCTGTCATCTTGCCTGGGTGAGTGGCTGCCAGCTAGCGGGCGTTTCGGGGTCAGTGGTCTGCGTGCTCAACGCACTGCCGGCATCTGAGGTGGGCGGCGTGTTTGCGGAGGGGGACGCGAGCGTCTAGCACTGACAGGGCAGTGACGAGCACATTCTTCTGGAAGGCAAAAGCTCATAAAAGTCCTGAGCCATGAGCCTAACTCAGTTTTACATAAAACAAGGAAATTTTTTTGTTTTTGCACTTTTAATGTCTTCTGAATTTTCCAAGGGGAAAGACAATTATTTTCTTTTTACTTTTGTTCAGAACGTTGCCAAGAATTGTCCACAACTTCAGAAAATGCTGGCATTGATGGCAGGGCCGCACTCAGACTCTGAGGACCCCTCCCTGTTCTGTCTGCTGAGGAGGCGACCAGGCTTCTGCGGAGACGGCTTCGGCCCAGCTTGCTGTGTCGCCCCGCCCCAACGTGAGTATGTTCATAGCGGTGTTTTGTTATAAGCTTCCTTCCCGTTTCTTCCCTCTATCATAGCTTTGGAATTATAAAGCTTTTGAAACTGGATGTAAGTAGGTAGGTTATGTTACCTATCAATCTCAATGTACGATAGTAAAGGGCTCGTTACAAAAAATGTTTACTGTAAGAAAGGGGTGCTGCGCCTGGCAGGGTGGGGACCCGGGCCCTAATCGCTGCCGGGGACAGCAGTGGCCTGGTTCTCCTTCCCTTCCCGTTCTTGGTTCGCAGCTTCAGCCTGTGGTGTTACTGCGTGTGTGTCTTTCGTGGAAAGCCATCTTCCTGGAATTCAGACAGAACCAAGGCCTCAAAATTGAGGAAACAAGTGGAAGTTTCCATCTGACTTCTTAGTCCTGGAAGAAGTCACAGAGCCAGGGAACGGCTCTGGGTCCCAAAACCCCAACCTGTTCTGACTCCCAAAGTGGCCCAGATTGTCGGTGTCAACCACTGACTTGTTCTCTCAGGTGGGAATTTCCCCAGTCAGCAGGATGGGCACAACAGATGTGTGCCTGCATGCCACCAGACCCTGGCACCCTCCTTCCTCCCTGCCAGCCGCCTCCACCTCTCCCACTCAGCAGTTCACACCTTCTGGGTTTCCCCCACCCCCGCCCAAACCGCATGGCAATCAGAGAATCAGTGACTGTCACCACTCAAAGGGACCTCAAAGGCCTCCTCCAGTCCCAAGCATTTGAAGTAACAAAATCTCTAATATGTATCCAGCTCTCGATATGTACCAGTTGATACACTTGCATCAATTTCATTAATCCCTTCAAAATCTCATGAGGTAGGGACCATCATTAGCCCCATTTTACAGGTGAGGAAACTGAGACACATAGAAGTTAAGTTGTTTGCCCAATGCCATCTAGCAATTCACTAGCAGAGCTGGGACTCAGACCCAGGTCGGCTGATTCTAGAGCCAAGCTCTTAAAGATCACGAGCCTCTGAGGGCTGAACAGGGCTGAACGCTTCATGCAGGGATCTGTAGGCATCCGAACTTGTATTTAGACCACTCCCTCCCTGCCAGGACCACCGAGACTGGTGAGAGAATGGAAGTAAGAATGGTTTATAAACACAGCCTCCTGCAGCTCCACAGCCACTGTCCCAGCCGTGGCTGTGCCGGCTACAAGAGCAGGCTGCCGAACGAGGCTCTAGAAAGCCATCGCCCTCCTTGCCGGCCTCGGGGCTGGGGGCCCAGGTCTGCGGGCATGAAAGCCACAAAAAATCATTTTCAGGGTGCAGAACAGCAGCATGAGGTCTCAGTAACTCAGAGAATCACCGTCTCTTCTCTTTCTATATCTCCCCTCTCAGGCGAAGGAGTGGGAAGGAAAACAAAGTTCCCGATGCCTTGCTGGGCTCCCAGACTAACATCACCTTCTGCCTGCCTCACCAGGGTGGGCAGCTATCGTGTCCCCCACACCTGGGCCGGCAGACCCAGCCACTGCCCTGCACTCAGTAGAGCCACCGGCTTTGCCTGCCACCAACCAGAGATGGGTGACTCTCCACTCGGGGCTGGGGCTGGGATTAAGTTGCAAAGGGTTTGAGAGATTGGGGATGACAAAAGGGGCTTGGAGACTAATTAGGAGCAGCAATGAAAGCTTAATTCATAAAAGCAAACATTTTCCATCCATCAACCTGCAACCAGTTAAGGGCACCGTTTGAAAGAAATCTGTGCGTGGGGAAGGGAGCCAACAGGAACAGGAAATGTTTGAAAGAATGTAAACTATTTCAGTTTCATAAAAAGTAACAAGTAAACAGTTATTACATGCAAATAATGCCCTGGTTTTAATTAATGCTGAAAAGTCAAAATATGTTTGACATTTGTATGTATACATGGAATGGCTGGAGAGGAAAAAATGGTGCCCAGATGCCCGCTCCGGCGCAGGGCTGGCAGCTCAGAGGGAACTAAAGCCTTGAGAAGGGCTTGTTTATTGGTGATGAAAAGTACAATTCTGCTTCAGCCGCGTCAGCCCATGTGGAGTCGGGCAGCAGAGGGAACCCGGCTGAGTTTCCTAACAAAGCTGGAGGCAGGCCTGGTGCTTGGGAAGGGCAGCTCCCCCAAGCTGCTTCTCAGCAGGCTGGCCTTAAAGGGCCAGTGGACCCTTAAGCCTCCATTTCGCCGGGGCAGGGTTGCTAGGGCTTCTCCTCCCCCGAGTTAAGTGATAATGGGTTTCAGGTCCCAGCAGCCTCCCACTCAACAAACAGCCTGCCTCCCTTCTACTGCCCGGTCGGTCAGGCAGGCAGGGTGGCACACCAGCCTGGCCTGTAGGGTGGGAGACGGCAGCCTGCACGCTGTGCTCTCCAAATTCGGCATTCTGCACTGCATTAGTTCTATTCTAAACCACCTGGGGCTCAAAGGGCCTGGGAAACCGTGCCTGCCTGCGGGAGGCCACAGCTGGGGAGAGGTGGTCTCAGAGTGTGGGGAGATCTGCCCCTGTGGGGACAGTGGCTTGGGTGCTTGGGCCCGGCAGACTGGTCCTCCAAGCTGTCTGCTGGAAGACCTGCAAGCTCCCTTTTTGTTCGTTCATCCACGATCTTCTCCCAGCATCTTTTGTGCCACCAGGGGTGCTTAATCAGGGAAGGTGGGTGGCATGAAAGGTTTCAGGAGTCTGTAAACCCCAGAAACTGGGAGAAAATTGTGGCTTTTCCTGGCAAAAGACCATAACTTTTCTCACATCCTCACAGAGATCTGTAACACCCTAAGGGATGACAAACGGCTCTTTTAGACAGAGCTGGACCGGGACACCTGTTTCTGGGGCTTCCATTGGGACCCCAAGGCCTCTCTCTCAGCTTCCTTCCCCCCACCTTTGCCACTGCCAATGTCAGGCTCTCTAGGTCTCCCTCCGGCTCACCTCGCCCACTGCGGCCCACGAAACGAAGGTCGTTGAACCTGGCCACCTGGTTCTTCATGACGGCAGAGGCATTGCGAAGTTCAGCAGAGTAGTTCTCATCGTTGCCTGCCATCACGGTCACCACCGTTCCATCTGGCACATCCCCCAGTGCCACCACCTGAGGACAAGGGGGGTGCTGAAGGATGGCTCAGAAAGGCAGACGGAGGCTTGGGGAAGGAGGGGAGGGGCTGGGCGGGCAGCTCCCCTGCGTCCCAGACGCACTGCAGGTTTCTCCAATGGGGGGTGGAGAAGAGGCTTAAAAACAATGAAGACCTTCCCCCAAATATAACAAAAACAAGCAGATGAAATCCCTAGCTTCCATACCAAAACCTAGATCAACTAGTTAAGCCGTGTCCCAAGAAATTTATTTCTATTCAATGGAATCTAAGTGAGAGCAGTGAATCAGCTCAGTCACTATGATGGGGGATGCGGTTCCCTCATCTTCGGCTAGACTAAAAGAGGAATCAACACGCTTCTAGCAACCAAGTTTGCAAGTAAAAAAGAATACCAACAACGATAATAAGAGGGCTGCTACCCTCATTCAATTTATGCAAGAGTCGTTTGGGGTAGGAAATTTGGCCCTGAAATGTGGCTCAGGCCTGGTTTATTGGCCTCTGCAGAGCCCGAATTCGTTATGCAGAGAAAATGCAAAATGCAAAACAAACTGGTTTTGAGAAGGGTCGTCCAGAAAACCCCTTTAAAGTGGGGGAGGGGGGCTTTTGATAACAGGAGGATGCACCTGCTGGGAATTGCGGGATGGGGTGGGGATGTCCCCCTAAATACTGTTCCCCTCCTCCTGCCCCCAAGAGCACGGAGAGGCAGATGCCCTTTGAAAAAGAATCAGACTCTAAACAGAGTCGCAGCCATTTAAACGTGGCTGCCGCGTGCAGGGAGTAGGAATCCAGATGGTAAAAATTTCAAGGAGAAAATGTTTGGGGTCTGATTAAAAAGGCCAGATTTCCTGTCAACATCCTGTCTTCTTTTAATTTCAAAGACTCCTTTTAAGCTCCAAGTGACAGTAAAAGCTCCGATCTGACGATTAAAGTCACACGGGCCTCCCCCCCTCCCGGGGAGGTTTTCCCCACTGGTATTTTAAGATGTCACCCGGGAGACCTCAAAGAGCCACTCATGCTTTTTTCCAATTTGGAGTCGTCTTAATGGGAGCAAGGACGGCTCAGCTGCCAGCGGCCGCTGCTTCCAGCCACCTCGGGCACCACCCCCCTTGCCGCCGGCCCTTCCTGCCCTGCCCTTTCTCACGGCAGCTGTGAGAGGTTTAGGGGAAAACCAAGGCGTTTTCGTTTCATCTCGCTGCCCCCTTAAAAAAATGAAAATGAAACAGTCGCCTACTCCTTAGCGTAGAGAAAAAGATCCTCTGAATGATTGGGGGCTGCCAGGTGTGGGGGCACCCCAATCTCAGCCTGCCATTGGGAATGCAGAATATTCCGGTGCAGCCATTTAGGGCGCAATGCTCCGGGTCCTGGCCTGGAGTCCAGCCCCGCGTACGATTTCAGAAGCCCGAAGCCCGAGGTGGAGGGTGTGAGCAGGAAGTGTTTCTGCAGCGGCGCCGGAGGAGGGGTGCTGGCAGGGGAGGGGAGGCCCTGTGCGCCCTCCGAACCGCACCGCACCTCCGGAGTCCTCGCCCTGGTCCCGGGATCCTGTTCTCGGCTGCCCGCAGGGCTGTGTCCGAGGGATCCGGGTTAGGGGCAAGTGAAGCCCCATTCGCTTGTTTCCACATCAACGTCTCTACGCAGGGTTCCCCAAAGCCCAGGTGGAGGGGGCCAGCCCCCTAAAAGCCATCCGTTCGGGGCACATCCAAGAATGAACGCGGAGGTCCCTGGGCCGAGCACGCAGCGAGGCCGAAAAGCGTCCTCGGTCCGCAGCCCGGGTCTCGCCGCAGAGTCTCGGGCAGGCCCCCTCCCCACTCCTCCGGGGCCGTGGCTCCAGCGGCTGGGACGCCGGGAGCCCCAGGGCCCGTGTCGTCCCGCCCCGGTCCCGCACTCACCTTGAAGGCGACAGGCAGCGTCTTGTTGCAGCGCCAGTGCGAGGGCAGCACGGAGCAGAGGAAGTTGGGGCTGTCGGTGCGCACGAGCTCTCCCGCGTGGTCCGCCAGCACGTCCACCATCGAGCGCACCTCCGGCCGGGCGCGCCCGCCGGGCCCCACGGCCGCCTGCGCGCTCAGCGCGCCGCTGTTCTCGCCCATCTTGCCGCCGCCGCCGCCGCCGCCGCAGGGGAAGGCCGTGGAGGGAGGTGTGAAGCGGCGGCTGGTGCTCGGGTCTACAGGAATACGCATAACAGCGGCCGTCAGGGCGCCGGGCGGGCGGCGGCGGCTCCCCCGGCGGCCGGCGCGGGCGCCTTCTCGGCCGCCGCTGCCGAGAGACGCGGGAAAGCAGAAGCGGCGCGGCCGGGCTCAGGGCGCAGGGCGGCGCCCGCCGACCCGCCGGGCCGCCCGCCGCGAGGCCTCGCTGCCCGACGGCCGCGCCAGCCTGCCCGCTAGTCCGCATCCCGGCGCGCGGCCCGCGTGCGCCGCCCTCGCGGCGGTCCGGCTGCCCGGGCCGTGGCGGGCCCGCGCGGGCTGTGCCGCCGCCGCCTCCCGGCCCGCAGCCCGTGGCCGCCCCACCGACTCCGCAGGCGCGGCCCCAGAACAAATCCTCGAGAATCAAGTGGCGGGGCTGCGGCCGCCCGCGCGGGGTTAGTACCCGGGGCCCGCGGGGCGGGCCTGGCCCGAGCGACGCGTCGCGCAGCCAATCGGAGCCCCCATCGCGGGCACCTCTGCGGCGTTCGCGGGGGAGGAACGGGCCCTCCGAAGGCCGCCCAAAGGGGTGGGGCGGGAGGCCCCGCCCCGCGGAGGACGCCCGCAGTCGGAGGCCCCGCGCCCTGGCCGAGGGCCCCCGAGAGTTCTAGGAGCCCGGGGCAGATGCTGGAAATTTGTTTAGCACGTCCGGGCCCCACAGAAAGCTCCCTTGCCGCCCTCTCCAGGTCGCGGCTCCCTGACGCGGGGACCGCAACCCTTTCCCTCCTCTTCCCCTCTGGCCACAGCCAGGCTCCCCGAGCTCTAGCCGCTTTGGGCCTGTGACGCCTGCACCCTCGGCTGGGGACCGCGGGAGCTCCAAGGCCAGAGACGGCGCCGGCGCCGGGAATTGCCCCAAAGAGGTTACTCCTCTCCCTCCACGCCCCCTGCAAATTATTTTGACCCAAGCGCCCCCTCTGCACACGGGGTTCTGCATGCCGTCCGGGGCCAGCCCAGCCGCCGGCCTCTGCAGCTCCCAGTCTCGCTTTGGTCCTGGCCTCAGCGGTCCCTGTGCCAACCTGGGGACAGACGGAAGAGAGTCTCCCACGGGCCCGCAGTCGGCTGGGGCCGACAGCTCGGTTCCTCTCCGATCTCCCCTCAAAACAAGTTTCAGGATCGTGCAGGCCTCGAGGCATCGTTCTTCGTTGTGGCAGCCTGTGGCTCTTTGAAAAACATAATGCGACCTGCAAAACGCGTTTCCCCGCTTGTTTTCTTCCACGCAATTAACCACGGTCCTGCATTGTGGAACACGCGGGTCCGTGGCAAGAAGAAAACTGCGGAGTGGCTGTAAAGCTAAGGGCCCTTCTTTCGGAGGAGAGAATTTTCTTCCTCCGTGCGGCTGGAAGGTGGCCCCCGCGACTCCAAGCCCGCGTCGTCTTAGGCCCGTGCGCTCTGGCCGCGCCGCGCGGACGCCGACAGCTTCGCCGAGGCGTTCACCGCCTGCTCGCCCGGCTCTGGGGTCCCGCTCCCACTCCCCAGCCGCGCGGCCCAACCCTTCTGGGCTTTACTGCGAACAACCCCTTCCTCTCCCGCCTCCTGGGCCAGTGGAGCAGGCCTAGGGACGGGCTGCAGCGGGGAGGGAACAGGAAAGATAAAGCCCCCATTCACGCCGAAATATCGCCCCCGGTGCGCTCCCTGGTCTCTGGGAATCGCACGCGCGCCAAGTCTCCCCAACGCTTTGGAGACTGGGATGGATTTTCGTTGTCTCCGGCGCTCTCGGCAGGTGCAAAACGACGAATTCCAAGCCTCGGGAGCAAAGAAGCACAGGATCCGACCGTGGCCGCGAGATCTCCTCCTGGATCTGCCCCTGCCCAGTACGCACCATTTCGTCGTCGTCGCCAAACGAAATTAAGCCCTGAGTGGCTCCAGGGGGGACGGGCTCTGGCCCAACTCTGACCACCTGGAGAGCTAGCCCCTGCCCCTCTCTGAGCCTCAAGTCAGCGCCTCAGGCCATGTGGAAAGCAAGGACAGCGAGAGTCCCTTACTGGACCTTTTCAAAGAGCCTATGCCTGGCAGCTGTCGGTCGCCAGGCCGCGCACCGTCGGAAGCGCTGGCACCGGGAGCCGAAAATAGAGGAAAGCAAGAGATCCCGGCCTTGGTGCATCTGACCTCCGGGAGCCTCTCTGGGAAAGGCCCACCGCGTCGTGGCCAGGTAGGGCCCAGAGCCGGGGCAGGTGACGCGTGCTGCCCTCGAGCGGCTGTGGGGCCGTGACCCGCTGTTTCTGGGGGTTGTAAATTAGATTCGTCGAGAGGTTTCGGTTTGCATCGTGTCCTTTGCTTATCCCTCCGCCCGATTTCTCTCTCTCATCCTACACAGGGTTGACAAACGGGTTTTCAAGGAATGGGGGGTCTTGTAGGCCCCGGCACCTTGCACGGGACTCGGCGCGGCTCCGGCCCTCGGGAGGGCGCTCGCCCTCAGCGGGCACCGGAACGAAGGCCCGCGGGTTGTAGGCGTTTGGGTCCCCAGCCCGAGGTCGCCGGGGCCGCCAGGACAGGAGCAGCAGCAGAGCCACCGCTAGTTGGCGCCTGCGCCCCGCCAGACGCGCATTCCCGGGCCAGGCTCTGCCCAGATGCGCGCCAGCTGCGGACCCCGCGTCCAGGCGCCGCGGCCGCCTCCTACGAGCTGCGCTTTCTGGACACACCGCCCGTCCGATGCCGCCACGTTTCGGACAAACCGATAGCTTTGCGTGAAACGCAACGCTGCCTTCCTCACCTCCGCTGAGACGGACGCTTTGCGCCGTCGCATCTGCAGGTACGGGAGGGTCCCTGCGCCCTCCCCCAGCAGAAGCTTCTCCCGTTAGAAATGCGCGGTCCTTCCCGTCCATTCCGGAGGGTGGACGCACGGAACAGACCAGCTAGTGCCCGGTTTCCACCCATCCATCGCCAACCATCAAAAACTACTTCATCTGGCTTTTGCTCTTTACTCAGAGGGAGACCTTCCAGTCACCCTCTCCCTTCCCCATCTGGGATGGCCGCGCATTTCCTCTCCCTCCTCCCTCCAAGCGATGGAAGGAACCGGCCAGCTAGTTCCCCGTTCCACCCATCGTCAACCTGCTTCCTCTCCACCCCTCACGTGTGCCACACAAGGGACAAGCATGCTCTGGGAAACCTCCTAAGAGAGCCATGGGCTGTGGAAGGAGCTCGAGTCTGCATCCCACTGTCCGAGTTCGTCTTCTTGCACGGCCCACCGCCATCTAGGGAAAGTTGCTTAAAACCTCGGCAGCCTCATTTGTTTCATCTGTAAAGTGGGGGCACTAATAGGGGCCTCCTCAACCGATGGTGTGTAAAGTGCTAGCACAGGCCTGGAACATAGGGGGTGCTCTGTCCATGGGGAACCGTCACTGCTATTATGATGAAAAAATAAGGTCACCCTTGTTGTGGTTCTTCCCCTCTCTGGGCCTCACACTTCCATCTGTGAAATGTCCAGTTCTCATGTTCAGAGCTTGCCAGGACTCAGAACCTAGTCCATGGCTGTCCTTCCCCCCTAGGGGGGTGCCTGGGGGAGGAGAGGACGTCTGTGACCTGCTCTGGGCACAGCAGCTCACAGGAGGGTTTCCAGCAAGCATCACAGGGCCGCCAGAGCCCGGGTCCTTCTCCTAGACTCTCAGACCCTCCCTTTGGAAACCCACTGGTCCCTGTGCCACCACCCTCCCCACAGGCAGACACTTCCCTAAGTTACAACTGGGCTTCAGCAGACCCTGTGGGCCCCTTCTCCCCAGGAGGCCTCTGTTTCCTTTATCCTGAGTCTCACGGGAGCCCAGTCCCATGCAGAGCTCCGAGGATTCTCCTAGAACTGAGACTTCCCCAGATCTGGCCTCTACATGCCCACTCCAGAGGGACCCGGGGTGAAACCTGTCTCCTGCCCAGTGCTCTGTAGCTCACGGGGGACATTCCTGTCCCCCTCTGATCCTCAGTTTCTTCTGTCAATGGAGGCCATTCTAACAGCTCCGCTTCACAATGGCCCCCCATTGTGAAGGTTTTTGAGCCCGGCATTACATTTCATGGATCTAAAACGTTATTATCAATTGCTGTGAAAAGAAAGAAAAAAGAAAGAAAGAAAATGCTGCTAAGTAAACTCGGACTTATCTGCATCCCGATTTCTCATATGCAAATTAGTGAGAAACAGCAATGGAAAATAGTAATACATTTAGGTTGTGGGCTTGTTTTCTGCAAGGCTGGGAGGTCTCACCCCAGAGAATCCAGCACTGGATCCATCTCTTCTCTCTGGAAGGATCCAGAATGTTTGGGAGGACAAGTGTGCTCCTGGAATTACAGAGATCTTTTATCTTTTTAGGGGTGGGGAAGGGCCAGACGTGGAGGGGAAGTACGAGGATGGGAGCTCAGGGTGGTTAGGGCATTAGGACCCAGATGCTGCCTCCTGTTGTGTGATTTTGCCCAGGGTCTACACCCCTCTGAGACTGGGTCCTTTGACCTGTAAAGTGGGAAGGACAGTGACAGTCAAGTTTGCAGAGGTTTTGCCACGTGCCCTGTGCTTGGGCATGACCTGCGTTATTTGATTCCCACAAGGATCGATGGATCGGATCGTTACGCGGAGGTGTTATGCCCATTTAAACAAAGAGCAACACTGCCCAAAGTCTGCGGGGCTAGGGAAGACCAAGCCAGGCAAAAAGCCTGCTCTGGCTCAACGTTTAAGCGTGGAGGCAGCACCCAGTTAAGCGCATGGCTCCTCTCCTCCCACTGGTTGAGTGAAGTAAGGGAAGAGCCCGTGTATCGATATTGAAATTGCTGTTGTGCTGGTGGGAGAGCTGGAGGCTGTAAAATCTGTTAAGCAGCCATGAACTTGAACTCAGAGACTCTTCAAACTTGGGTCCTGAGGCTGGAAGGGCTTGCTGGGGTCACTCGGGAGGGCCGAAGGCCGTATGCAGAGGCCCCACCACCCGCTGTCGTCTGGCCTCAGCACCAGCCTGCTAGGAGGCAGGATGGGCTATGGTCCCCAGTTTACAGATGGCAACACTGAGGCCCGGGAAGCGGGAGAGGCGTGA